AGCAAAGATTTCTACATGCTACCTCGAAGCTAGGCAGTGAGGTTTGTTTTAAGCCAGTTGTGTAATGAAAATATATGCAAGTGTCCTAGCAACTTTTAAATGGGTAAGTAATAATTGATGAAACAGTCAATTGCTAGAATGACCTCCCCAAACCCTCCTAGCGGTTACTGAGACATTAAAGTGACAGAGATGGGATCAAGCCAGCAAATAAGAATGTGCAATGCTGTCCTCTGAGTGATTTCCAGTCTGGGCAACTATTTTGAGCTCACCAGATTATGCAATAAGTTTGAAAGCAAATGCCTAATGAAAAATTGTATTTAAGTGCCATGACTGTTTAGGGGGGATTTTTCACCTAAAAATTTTATTAGTTTGCCATTATTCTTACCCTCTTTGTTCATCTGTCAATCTGTTCTTTCTATATGGATAAAATGGAGAAAACAATAGGAAAATTTAGAGAAGTAACATGTTTGCAAAACTATTTTTATTGCACTGGTTTCCAAAAGCCTTTTTATCTTAAAACTTGCAAAATCGTCTTTTTTTTTTTTTTTTTTTCAGCCAAAACCTTTGTCCAGCTCAATTTAGTATTCTTCATTCTTTCCAAATGTTATCTACAGTAATTCATTTTGACAACCACCTTGTAAGAAAATAGGTGAATATTTTACACTAGTTTCACAGAAGCCGACTGATTTGAAGGGCAAATTCTGCTTTCCTCTCTTGTAGTGCATAGTACCTGCCCTCCTTCATGAGGAGAGCTATTCGAGTCTGACCTTATATGATTTGTTGAAAGCCAGAAAAGGAGTCAGTGTTAGAGTGGAGGAATTTTGGCTTCTAATCCAGCGTTCAAATGACTAAACCATACATCTGATAAAATGAAACTTAAACCTGTGATACTGCATACTGTACAGCACATTTAAAATGCATTTACTTCCCCACCCCAGGAGCTTCAATAGCTCCAAAATAACTTTTAAAAATAAATTGTTTATTGAAAGATTAAGAGCATTTTATTGACTTTGCAGTTATGGTCAATTTCAGTGCATTTTGTGACAGTATCTAGTCACAGATAGTCTCTTTCCTACGTGTGATGGTTTTATTATGTGAAAGAAGCCTACCTACTGTTTATCCTTCCCTTGTTCTCATCCTCAGTCTCCCATGTTCCCCAGATGCTTTGTATGTCAAATGATCTCCCTGTCTCAATTCAGATCCCTCCTTAAGAGATGACTTCTGTGCAGATTTCCTATAATGATTCCCCCAAGATATTCATACTGATTTGAGACAGGACTTTCATCTATTATAGCACATGTGGTTGATGACAATGTCTGAACCTAATACTGCTGTGTTCAGAACAGCTTTGAAAAGATCTTTAAGAAAAAATCAAACAATTTTTTCCTTTTGCTTGTCTTTTTTCACCATGCCTCTGTAACAAAAAGCTTATTTTAAAAGCATGTTAAATGAACAGATCAGCCTCTAAATATGCAGAGTAAATGATAATTAGTTCACAAATAAGTTAACTATGAGCATCTTTCTTTATTAAAGTCTTGTAGCTCCTTCCACATCCAAGTGCATGTAGAACTGCAGTGAAACCAAATGACTCCATAAACTGGCATTTTGCTGACTCTTTTAGCCTTCTTGAACTTTCTTTTCCTGCTTTTGCAGCATATATCCCTCTAAGATCCAGGGGTGAGGGGGGGTGTGTTCAGGGCTGAGTACAGAGCTGGGGTGCTTTTGCAGCCAGTGTCTACATCATGAAGAACAGGGGGAGTCTGTCTTCTGTGGGAGGTTCCTGACTTTGGAGTTTGCTTTTGCTCAAGTTTTTAAAGCCAGGGTTTAGTATCCTAGAGTGTGGTGCCAGAACTACCGTTTCAGCTGAGCCTTTGCCAAACATTAAATTAAAATATTACTTTCCTTTCTTACTTTTTACTTAGCTGATTAATTTCTTCTTTCCCTACCCTACTGACTTCTGTATTATCACAGATGGATTTTTAATATTTTTTTTTTTATTTAAAGTAATATGGACTGCTCCCCTTTTGCGGGTGTAGGTGCAAAATAAATTGTGAAAATTAAGGGGTGGATTATTTGGTAGTTGCACATATGACTGTATTGAACAGTCTCCTAAAGCATCTGTATGCTGCTAATTTCCACAAATGAGACAGAATCAGTTGACCTTTGGGCTGCTCTGGCATGGAAATTGCTATGTTGAAGGTACTTTCTGGTAACATGCTACATGAAATCACAGAAAATGAGGCGGGAGGAAAATACTTGCAAATGTTCTTATTCTGTTAGCTTCTAAACTGACTCACTTTTTTTTTAAATGTTCATTACATTAGGGGAAAAAAATTGACCAATAATAGTAATGATGCAAATGGCACCTTCTCCTAACATAAACTGGATGGATATTAAATGCCCAGGAGCCAAATAAACTCAAAAGAGTTCTTTAAAATGGCATGATGTTGCATGTGGGTTTGTGATTTGTGACCACTGTGCAAGTATGTACAAGCACACGTAAGTATAGACTTTGTGGAACTGTGGTAATTTTTAGTCATAAGCCTAAAATGCTTACTGTATTTCAGTTCACTCTTGTTGAATTTTGGACTCGTCCCTTTCCTGTACCTTCTGCTTGGAATGTGCAACAGAGGTGGAGTCATGGATTTTCAATTCCAATCTGAAAGAAGTTAGCTTTTGGCAGGTTGTCTGAAAACATGGAAACCAAACACTCTTTCAAGAAAAAAGATTCAACCCGCCATCCCCTGATTTGTTTTGGATTCTTTGAACTGGAACCTCTGAGGTAATAGGTGCATCATGGATATAGATCTATAATCCATGACCTTATTACGAGTGATAAATTAATATTTCCAAACCTAATTGCCTCACTAATGTGCACCCACACCTGTCCTAACTTACTTCTTCCATTTTTCAAACTGCCAGTGAAAGCAGCTGATCACCATTCTCTGCTGAAACAAATCTACATCTAGTAGGCAGAGTGAAAAACAGTCTCACAGAAACAAAAAAAAGTGCCATATGAAATGTAGACAGAAATGGTTTGGGAGAAAAGTTGTTTAACCTGAAAGCTTTGAACAGAAAGCTGCTTAACTTACAGGCTTCACAGATGTACCACCTTAAAGCTAATGGACCGGGACCGGTATAAATGAGAGAAGAATCTGGTCACTTGTGTCAAAATGCCCAGGATCTCTTTTCTTCTGTGTGCTGGTTTCATTCCACAATGACTCTGGTGCTTCACATCCTTCTCTCAAGTTACTGTTTGGTTAGACTACAGCCTGTCTGATTCTTACCTATGCCTTAGTCAGAGAAGCTCACATTATAAGTCAGCAGGAACCTGACCAAGTAAAATTTGAAACAATAAATGTTCCTCTGTCATTTAGCAAAGCATGTCTCTGCAGGATCTGGTCCTGTTAGATTTCCTGAGTAAAGCTGAATTAAATCACTGTGTGGCCTGTGTGTAACCTTTTGGTGATGCAGCAGGTTTCATAGTAGTCATATCTCAGTTTATTTTTAGATATGGTGATCTATAATATTGTGGTTAAAGGAAACAAATACTTCCTCACTGCCTTCCCCTGATCCTAGTCCAGAAATCCAAAATACATTCCGGTTCATTTGCATATGATCTATATAGCTCCTTATATACACAAAATTTTGGTTTTCTCTGATCGCCTTAACTTTGTAAATCAAGTATTAATCCCACTTTGCAATGTGTTCTCTAGAGCTTTTTATTCTCCTAAGAACTGTCTAGTATGTATATTGGTCACAGTGCACATGCTGTTTGGGACAGTGATAAATGGGAATATATTGATTAGGAAAATCACTTAGCTCTAATTTCTCAGATGCCACTGAATAAGAGATTACTCTCATGTGAAGCAGGATTATCTAGTTAGAATACTTTTAGGGTTCTTCTGTAATCCCTGTCTTCCCTTTCAGAAATTAGTAGTCTGTTTCTGATAATAGAGCAGGGTAGTATCTCTTCATTGTCTTCAGACATCCCTCCCAAAACCAAACATGTATCATACTTGAAAAACAAACATCAAAAAACCCAAACCAAACCAAAACAAACAAAAAAAAAACCAAAAAATAAACAACACCCCACAAAACTACCCTATGTAATATTTCAACCTAATGCTGCAGTCCTTAAAAATTGGAAGATCCTTAAAACCCACAACAGATATGCAAATAGAGTTGGGTTGGAAATAAAGTAAGTGGAGGGTCACAGCAGAGAGGGGTATGGAATAGAATGAGATTTTCCATAAAGTAAGTTGGTGTACTTTCAGAGGCATACAGTGGACACTCTTAAAAGCTGACATTGAGAGAGAGAACAAGATAGTTAGAATCCTGTGTGTAAAAGCCACAGGTGATTCTTAATAGGCAGCAAATTAGCTGAAGGATAGAGACGAATACTTATTTTTGTGGCAATAGCAATGCTTTCATTTTCCAGCAAGTTTTTAACTGAAAAAATTAACTGAAAAGTAATGCAAAGAATAGGAGGATAATTGTGAATTAGGAGCCAAATTATGCCAGGCACAATTGAATAAGTTCTGACTTTTCTTACTGACAGACATGTATATTAATAGTTGGCACTTATTGAACCAAATATGAATATTCATCTTCATTTATATTTCAAGGCCTTTCATTCCTCAAGGACCACAGTGCTTTTGACCAATTTTCATCCACATTACTAAAATGACAGCTTTCACTCCTGGGCCCTGACAGAGGTCTGCAGAATTCATTGGAGGTCCTGGGAGGAGGGAACCAGCTCCCGCTCCCAGCTGTCCACAAACACTCATTAAGAGAGGCAAATATCCAGCAGAATCTCTGTGAGAATTTTTAATCACGCAAAGGCTCTGCTAATTAGGTAGCTGATGGGGCATAGAGAGCACAAGGACGAATTCTTTAAACAAAGGACTAGAAACTTTAAGAGCTTTAATTACTTGGGCACAGAGTTCATTTCAGAACTCGGGAGCAAATTATTCTAATAACAATAAGACCAAGTAGCAGGCCATATTAGTGAGAATTGTGTAGAAAAGTTCAGTTTTCTTGGGCTGTCACAACTGTGATTGAAGCATATTGGAATCTGAGGGGGCTATAAAGGTATTAATAATAAACTTTATTGTGAAATGGATTTGATGCAGAAGATTTCCTATCAATGTGCATTCTGTTCCTCTTTTCTGTGAGTACTGCTTTGCTAGGGAGTATTGAGCTGTGTCCTACACCTCAAAATGCTCACATAGCTTAAGAGGTGGATACTTTTACACAAATGAAGAACAATGGCTATTTTCAAAACAAAATCCCCCCTTTTGTTTGGTGCAGCAGACTGTCTCCAAAAACCTAAAAACTGGAAGTATGTTGCTTTCTTGTAGGCTAGAAGAAAATCCATTTTGCTGGCTGAAAATTATGGGTTTGTTTTTTGTTTGCTTTGTAAGTGCTTAAATAGCATGGCTGTGTTGTGTGGTTCCTCCCAGGACACAATTTAGGATAGAACAATTTCCAGGATCCCTTTCTCTTAGGTGGAATAAGGAAGAGACTGAAATTGCTAAGGAGAAGGAGAAAGTAGAGAGCTTCAGGATTTGAATTAGGAAACTGTGCTCTCCCACCTTGCAAGAGAAGAAGATAGAAAATATACAGCTCTCTTTCCCCTTGAAAATTGAAAACAGCTGATGTGCTACTCTAGTCATTGCAGCTGAGGAATCTTAGCAAGCTTGTTTGTAATTGAGCACAAGGGGCACATCCTGTCTGTGTGCTGGATGAAAAGCTGATTTCCTTTGGGCAGAAACCAGGGTGACCAGGTATGAAGGAGAGGAGGTGTTTGCTGTTTGCTGCAAAAGGTATGTTGGCCTTGGATGTCTATGCAGTCAAAGTAGGGGAAACCACTGTGTAGTACACCTGCAGTATGTTGGAAATATTCTGTGAAGATACATGTTGAATCTCCTTCCTTTTTTTTTTTTTTTTTTTTTTTTTTTTAGGAGGGGACTGCGACTTGTCTGGGGGTCAGTTCCTGATAAGGAGAAAGCTGGTAGCTTTTTACCATGGGCTTATATACTTAAAACCTAGGTTCTAAGCAAGGGCTTGTTTTTCAGTAGATTTGGTGCAAACCCTGTACAACTATTACTCATATGTTAAATGCTAATTAAAACTTTAGTATTCAAGAACAAATTTTATAGCCAAGGGACTATACTCGCTGCTGGTGGGGAGATGGTCTTGAACTTGGCAATTGAACATGCAAGAAGTTCAAGGGAAGTTGCAAAGGGACAGGTGAAAATGTAACTTGGGATAATTGAGGGCTAAGTATGATCAGTGAGCAAGTGGTGGACTGGTGTTCAGAGTTGCAGAAAGAAATTAGAGAAGAAAGATATATCTGCTCAGAAAATTGGTATGAGACAAAGGTTCAAGCTTGGTCTTGAACAAATCTTCTGCTTGCCTTTGATATGTTTACTGCATGTTTTATCTGCTGTAGAGGAAAGGCATTGCTGAAGAGAAACTGCTGCAGTCTGTGGTTGTAGACAAGCTTTCATTTGGTGTGGACTTTCCCCACATGAATAAACAGAGGTCTGAGTGCAATAAACATCGCTGAGTGTTTCTATTAGGAAGTCATTCTGCCCACTGTGGTTCCCTCAGCCATTTGTGAGAGCAGCTAGAGTAACAAAATGTACTGACAGAAGAGCTTTTTCTTCATTGTTGCTTTTTGGTTTTGTTTTAATTCCCAGGAAAGCAGGCTAAACTGACATGTAGGAATAATTCTGTCACCTTAGTTCCTAATGTTTCTGACAGCAGTTACAACAGAATAAAGAAATAGGTGAGGGAGAAAATGTGAACAGAAAAAGGGGAGAGGAAAGCCCCATATAGTATTTTCTTCTAAAACAATTCCTTTTGAAATTTTGAAAAGCACTTAAGCTTCAGGTACACTGTGCTGCTGTTCTCTCCTGGATCCGTTGGGGGAATGGGAATAAGTGTAGTCTGATGCTCGCTTCATGTGCTGTTATTTTTCTGGCTGTTGCTCATACCTACTTCAAGTCTGATCTTGGACATGCAGCACACAAACAGTACTCTCCCCAGTTCAATCACACTGTATTGATTAAAAAAAAAAAAGTTATTTTATGGCACATGACTTTTAAACGCGCATGATTTAGCAGTTCTGCAGAGCTTAAAGCTCAGAATCCAGGAACGTAGCTGAAAGTAAGGTATTTCTTTTTGCATAAAAATATACGCAGTCTACTTTTAAAATAAGTACTACTATAAATATTACTTTAGTGTCTTAGTCTCAAAAAGTAATACAGGACAAACATTGCACACTTATGTTTAACTTTTTTAGGAAATACGATTTGTGGCAAAGGCGTGTGACCCTGCTGTGTCAGTTTAGCAGTTATGACTTAGATCAGAAATAAAATGCCAGTGTTTCAGAAGTTCTTCTATACATCAGATCTCATTACAATTTCTTTTCTATATAGGTGTAAACTGGGTCTTTTTCTTCTTTCTGCCTTTGTTTAGTACAGATATTATTTGCCCATTCTGTAAGTGTGTTCTGAGGCTACGTTCTTTCGTCATGTAGAGATCCTTAGCAGAAAGAAAATGTGTAAGGCAAGACATACAAAGAAGTGGTTTATCAGCACTGCCCTGAAGTTTTAAGTGGATCCATTTTAGACAGATTGTCAATATCAAGATACCAAAATATGAATATTTTTGCTCAGAAAGGTAGCTGTCCGTGCACATTTGTCAACTGTTACGCTGTGTTTTCTATAGGAAAAAGAATCATTCATCATGTTTCAGTCACTGTCCAGTGCAAAGCTGGTCAAGAGGCATATCCATTAATTCATATCTGTCCATAGATGTCAACTCTAAAGATGCGTGTAGTTTGTATGCAAATAATAAAAATATTCAAATAGTTGAATACGAGAGTCTTTAGAACCACCCTTATGTAAATTTGAGGGAATTTACCCTGAAATGGGAATGTGAAGGAGCCAGAGTTTAGAATTACTACATGCTGGGGAAAATAATCTTGAAACTGCAGAAACTGCAAATTCTTGAGTGTGGCCTTTTAGCTGGAAAGGGAAATAGAAAGAGGGAGAGATATTTCTCCTGTTATTTTAATGTATTTTGCTAGGTTTATGTCAAGAGCAGCTCTGAGAAACTTTCGTGATGCAAAAATGCTAGAATTTCTAATGCAGAAAGAAGAGCTGCTTTCATATTATATCCTTACCAAAAAAAAAAAAAAATTCCTCCCCTCCATTTTGACAGTTAAATGTTAGATTTTATTCAGGTAAAAAATATTGAAAGTATGAATATCACCAAATTCATTGTTTGATAACAACCCTGATAGAGATCAGCAGGTTTGTGTGGACAAGGCAGACCTAATAGATCCCGTAGTGATTCCATGTTTGAGATGCTGATTAGGAGGAACTTTCACCCTAACTGATGGGATAGTCCTATTCTTCTCCTCAGTAGGATTTCCCTCTCTCCATTTGGAGCTGTGACTGGGCCTTTTACAAATGCTCAATTTGGAGTACTCAGGCTTAAAATGGAGACTTTTAAAAATCTTTAATTGGGCCTAAGCATAGTTCTTCATGCAGTTCATTGTTTTGAACAAGGAAGCAGGACTAAAGAGTTAACTGCTTCCAATTGTAAATACATCAGTGGCAGGCACATTACAAAGCTCTATACAATCCTGTAGAGTAAATGGTGGACAGCTCATCACAATTAGGCATGGTCATAATGAAGAGCCAGAAGAGAGAAAAGAGGGCATGGGGAAAAACAGACCTTTTACAAATGTTTTATATGAAGAGAAATTATAGCTAAAAGGGATAGTTAATTAGTTTAAAGAATAGGTGGTAATGCCTTCTCTTTGCAAAAAAAGAAAACTTTGAAAGCATGGAAAATGGGTGAGTTTCTAGCTGCCGATCTGGAAAAGGAGAAAACAATTCAAAGCAATACTGTACGTGGGTGTTTCTCAAAAGAGACTGTGGTGGGAAGTGTGTGATCTGAGTAATTTACTCTTAGCAGAGACAGTAGGCACTATTGTGTTTAACAGAGACCGTGCATATAGCCTTGTTTTCACTGAAATGCATCTGTATTATTACAGGTGCTTATCAGAGACATAGATGCTTATGGTTTCCTTCCCAGCTTTGCATCCACTAGGGAAGGCGAGAACCCATCTGGCTTGTGCAGAGAAAATTGCACAGAGGAGCAAGGTTACAATAAGGTTTGCTCTCTAGCCTTTTTGCAGGTTGCTGCCTAACCAGTCACCTGTAAAAACAATGTGCGTTCTGAAATACATTATTTGGGGAAGAAGTAAAGAATAGCAATAATCTGTATCAGTTTATTGAGCAGCAGCACATGTAATCTAAAGTATTGTGGTGCCTATGAGATACAGCCTGTGGGACACTACCTGGAGATGAAGCTTTTCTAGCATCAATGAAGTCTGCAAATATTTCTTCCTACCACAATTCCCATTGTGTGTATCTTGAATAAGATGGATCTCTGTGTGGTTAATAGAAACACATACACTCCACATAGACTGTTGTTCGGATGTGTGTATACTGCAGTTATTTCCCACCAAAGATAGTTGAGGTTCATGCTGCTGGCATGAGCTTGCTTCTTCTACAGCTGGTTTGTTAATCTGTGTTACACCACAGTTGTTTCTGAGAATTGCAGAGTAGATGCAACCTTTATTTTGTAGTCTGGGATTTCGGAACTACAGTCATCACACCCTATGACAACTATGAAAATAATGTTGGTTAGCACTGTCTGTTACATGGCGCAAAATAGATTATGTTATAGAAGTGAATGGGATAAAATGATTATTTCTCAACTGTTGTTGCATATAGTAGTATGTGTAGCATGTCTTGTGTTCACAAAGAGAAAACATATTTGTAGTATGAGCCTGATTCTCTGTTGGTAAGTGGATGACTGTTATGGGTCTGCTTCAGTGTCTGTTGTTCCAGGGAAAGAAAAATGGCATGTAAGGAGGGGATTAGTATTGCGGTTGTGTTTAACTGGCTCCTGGCTCACCTGAGTTCTGTTAGTACTCCTGCAACCTCAATTCTGCAAGTTGCCTACTTCTTCCATCTCTGTCATTGTTTGAGCTCAGGAGCAACTGA